CAGAAGGAAGGTTGGGCAATCCTACTTCTGTAGTGATACTGCCTCGGAAACCCAAGGAGGGGTCGCTATGAGTCAGGGCTGACTTGACGGCACATAACAACAACAACAACAGTCTTTCTTTGTCACTTTCATGCTAGCTCCTGTTTTGTTCACTGTTTCTTCCCAGTAGTAAGAATAGTGTCTAAACCCAAAACCAAAGTCACTGCTCTTGAGTCAGTTCCAACTCATAGCAACCCTGTAGGACAGAGTAGAACTGCCCCATAGGCTTTCCAAGGCTATAGTATTTACAGAAGTAGACTGCCACATCTTTTTCCCACAGAACGGCTGGTGGGTTTGAACTTCTGGCCTTCCATTTATCAGCTGAGTGCTTAACCATTATGCCACCAGGTCTCCTGAGAATAGTTCCTGGAACACAGTAAATGCTAAATAAACATTTTCTGACTGTTAAAAAACACTAAATAAACAAGGAATAAAAGGAAACTCGATCAACCTGGTAAAGACTATCTATGAAAATTTACAACTAACATCATGCTTAATGATGCAAGACTGATGGCTTTCCACTAAGAACAGAAACAAGACAAGGATACGCATTCTTGTTACCTCTGTCCAACATTTGACTGGAGGTTCTAGCCAGGGCAATTAGGAAAAAAATTGTAGGCACCCTAACTGAAAAGGAAGAGGTAAAAGTATGTCTACTTGGAGATGCCATAATCTTGTATATAGAAAAGACGTCCTGTGTGTGTGGACTGGAAGACTTAATATTGTTAAGATGGCTGCATTTCCCAAACTGATCTATAGATTCAACACAATCTGTATTAAAATCCCAGCTGCCTGTTTTGCAGGAATTGACAAGATGATCCTAAAATTCATAAAGAAATGCAAAGGATCTCACAGTCAAAACAGTCTTGGAAAAAAAAGAACTGAGTTGGAGAATTAATTCCTCTTAGTTTCAAAACTTTTTTTATACAGCTACAGTTGTCAAGACAGTGTGATATTGGCATAAAGATCAATAAATGCTGTAGGATTCAGAGTCCAGAAATAAACTCTTCAATTTATGGTCAGTTAATATTTGACCAGGCTACCTAGATAATTCAGTGGGGAAAGTATACCCACTGTCATCAAGTTGATTCCGACTCATAGTGACCCTGTAGGACAGAGTAGAACTGCTCCATAGAGTTTCTAAGGCTGTAAATCTTTATGGTAGTAGACTGCCTCATCTTTCTCCCGTGGTGCTCCACGGTTGGTTGGAACCTCCCACTTTTTGGTTAGCAGCAAAATGCTTTAACCACTGCACTATCAGAGTTCCTTGGGGGAAAAGTATAGTCTTCAACAAGTGGTGGTGGGACAACTGGATATCTTCATGCAAAAGAATGAAGTTAGATTCTTAAGATATTAATTGAATATGGATAAAAGAAATCCCCTAAATACAAAGGATGAACTGTAAAATTCTTGGAATAAAACATAGGCATAAATCTTTGTGACCTTGGACTAGACAATAGATTCTTGAATACCAAAGGTACAAACAACAAAAAATAGATAAATTGTACTTTAACACAATTAAAAACTTTTCTGCTTCAAGGGACACTGTTAAAAAAAAAAATCCACATTAAGAAAACTAGTCCACAGAATGGGAGAAGATACTTGCAAATCATGTATGTAATAAGAAACTTATTTCCAGACTATAGAAAGAAGTTTTACAGCTCAACAATAAAAAGACAATCCAATTTAAAAATGAACAAAGGGCTTGAATAGACATTTTGCCAAAGAAGCTACACAAATGGCAAATAAGCACATGAAAAGATGTTCAACAACATTGTCATTTGGGAAATGCAAATCAAAACCAAAATGAGATAGATAACCACTTCTAACTAGGATGACTATTCAAAAAGAAAGACAGTAATGAATGTTGACGAGAATGTAGAGAAATTGGAACCCTCATGCATTGCTGGTGGGATTGTAAAATGGAGGGAAGGACACAGGGTGGAGGTAACTATGGGCAGCCACTATGGAAAACAGCTTGACAGTTTCTCAAAACTCTTAATGTAGAGTTACTATAAACTCTCTCTCTTCACGGCCGTCGAGTCAATTCTGACTCATAGCAACACCCATTGGATTTCCGAGAGTGGAAATCTTTACAGAAGAATGTTGCCCCATCTTCCTTCCTTGGAGCATCTGGTGGGTTTGAACCACTGACTTGGTTAGCAGCCAAATGCCTTATTCACTATGCCACCAGAGCTCCTAGAGTTACTGTGTGACCTGCCAGTTCACCTCCTAGAGATATACCTAAAAGATTTGAAAATATATGTACCCACACAAATACTTGTGTGTGACGGTTCATAGCAGCATTATTTGTGATAGATAGAATGTGGAAACAAGCCAAATGTCCATCAGTTGATGAACAGATAAACAAATGTGGTATATCCATACAGTGAAATACTATTTACTCTGCTAAGGAAGACACAAAAAGCCACATATTGTATGATTCTATTTACATAAAATGTTATGAGTAAGTATATAGAGACAAAAAGTAAATTAGTGGTTGCCAGGGGCTAAGGTGGAAAGGAAACTGGTAAATGACCGTTAATGGTTATAGGTTTTCTTTTCTTTTTTTTAATTGTGATTTTGGTGAAAGTTTACAGAGAAAATTCACTTTCCATACAACAGGTCACATATACTTTGTCTCATGACATTGACTACAATTTCCCACAATGCAACAGCTCTCCTCCCACTTTCTCCCCATAGTTACCACCCCCTGTGTCCTTCCCTCCATGCACTCCTGCCCCCTGAGTTGTTTCCCTGTGCATACACAGCCCTTCTATTCTCCCATGATTGTTCTCTCCAAGGAGTGTATCTACATACTGTAAATGTTGAGCTCATATGCCTGTCTTTTGTTTGGCTGGAAGCCACAGGAGTGGGTTCAATTCCAGACCTGAAGGGCAGCTAGGGGCCATAGTCCCAGTGGTTCCATCAGGCTCTATCAGACCAGCAAACCTGGTCCCTTTTCTTTCTTCTTCTTCTTCTTTTTTTTTAATGATTTTGAGTTTTGTTCCACATTGTTCTCCCACTCTTTTCAGGATCTTCTATGTAGATCCCCCTCTGAGTGGTTGATAGTGGTAGCTGGGCACCATCTAGTTTTTCTGGTCTCATAGTCGTATAGGCTGAGGATCGCATGGTATACCACTAGCTTGGACTAATTGTCTCCATGCATCTTTGGTTTTCTTCATTCTTCTTTTCTCTGGATGAGAAGAGACCCATTGTTGCATCTAGATGGCCGCTTGCAAGCTTTTAAAATCTGGGTGTGGGGTTTCTTTTGAGGGTGATGAAAGTGTTCAAAAATTAGTTGTGATGGTTGCATAACTCTGTGAATGTACTAAACACCACTGAATTGTACACTTTAAATGGGTGAATTTTGTGATATGTGAATACTTCTCAGTAAAGCTGAATGAAAAATATCCATCCTGCACAAAACAAAACTTTATTGAATAATGAAAGAATGAATGAATCTATTCACACTGTGTGTACTTAATGTGTATTTCAGAGTTTTTTCCATGTGAGTGCTTATAAAGTACTAGGTGGATGTAGAACAGTAATTCTTTATTTTAAAAACATGATGGTGAACATTTAGGTAGCTTCCAGTCTTTTGCTATTGCAGACAGTGACACACTTGGTATCCTTGTGTGCAGGCCAGTTCACAAAAAAACACAGGTACTTATAAGATACATTCATAGAAGAGGAATTACAAGATCAAAGGACATTTGCATGTTAAAGTGTGATTGGTATTGCCAAATTACTCCCATGAAGAAATTGTACTGATTCATGCCCCCATCAGCCATGTACAGGGGCTTTTTCTCCACATCCTCACCCATACAGTGAGTTATCCAACTGTGGTATCTCACTCTCATCTACACTTGCATTTCTCAATCATGAGAAAGGCTGGAAAGATCATTTACATTCCTGGTGTCATTGAAGATCTCAATGCTGATTGAGGGTTGAGGATTGTAGAGCTTAAGTACAAGGGCAGAATCAGGACTTGCCTGCCAGTGCAGCTGCTGGTAGCAACCTCCTGAACGGAGCGGTGAGTCATAATGTGAAATATCTCCACCATCGTTAATCACACATGTCTGTGGGCTCCTCCTACATGTGGGATGCTTTTCCAGGTTCACAAGAGAGCTGGTTCATCAGGAAGTCTCTCTGATAGCTTTAAAGTTCATTAAGCATTAAGGTGCGGTTCTCCATGTTGCTCATGCCCACACTCGGAGTAGGTGGTGCAAACAGTTAAGGGTCAGCTACTCACTGAAAGGCGGTAGTTCAGACACTCCTAGATGTGCCTTGGAAGAAAGGTCACAGCCATGAAAACTCTATAGAGCAGTTCTACTCTGTACACCTGGAGGCACCATGAGTTGGACATGACTTGATGACAATAGTTGTTTTGTTGCCAGGAGACTCAGAGAAATTGGTGACCTGGTGCATTATGTCTAAGTGCATTAAATGGGTACTGGCCAGGCTCCTGGAAACCAGATTGAGGGCAGATGACTAGGCTGCCTATAAAAATAATGTACAACTTTTTCTTGTTTTCTTTCAGGAACAGTGTACCTAGACCATGTAGGAGCGACGTTGTTCCCCCAGAGCCAGCTGACAAGCTTCACAGATGATCTCCTACAAAACATCTATGGTACAGAAATACACAGAACTGGGTTTTGCACTAAGCTAACTACATTCAGCTGGTACTTTGGTGCTTAGTAAATGTTGGATTAATAGCCTGGGACTGTGCTGAGCACATAAAGCTGCATAAGTCCCATGTTGGGGGGACAGACAAGCACTCAGTATAACACAAGTTGCTGGGATGGGAATAACTGCCTTGGCACCACACAGGTTACTGTCAGAAGGGGGTCACAGTGAGGAGTGGAACAGAGGTGCATAAGTGCTGTGTTTGGTGGTGATGCCACTGTACGACTGGAGCAGTGGAGGAGGGCTGGGAGAGCATTCATTCATTTGCTCATGAGTCATGAGTTCGTTCGTTCATTTGTTCATTTGAGCCACTGTGGTATGTGGATGGAGTCCCTGGCTAGCACAAATGGTTAAGCACTCAACTACTAGCCAAAAACGATGGCAATTCAAACCTACTCAGAGGCGCCTTGGTGATCTGCTTCCAAAAGGTCACCGTTTTGAAAACCCCATGGAGCAATTCTACTCTGCACATATAGGGTTGCCATGAGTTTGAAACGACTCAGTGACAACTAACAGCAGCAGCAGTGGGGCATGGCGCATGGTGCTAGGTATGGGGCTGTAATAGGAACAAAATAAACACAGTCTCTGCCTTCATGGAGCCTATGGTCTAGTTCTGGGAGATAACTCATAGCAACCCTGTATGTACCCTGTTTGTACAACAGAACAAAACACTTCCTTGTCCTGCTCCGTCCTCACAATCCTTGCTATGCTTGAGCCCATCATTGCAGCCACTGTATCAATCCATCTCATGGAGGGTCTTCCCCTTTTCTGCTGACCATCCATTCTACCAAGCTGAAATCCTTCTCCAGGGACTGGTCCATTCTGACAACATGACCAAAGTAGGTGAGACGATGTCTGGCCATTCTCGCTTCAAAGGAGCATTCTGGCTGCACTTTGTCCAGGACAGATTTGTTTGTTTTTCTGGCAGTCTGTATTTCAGGTTTTTCGGTATTCTTTGCCAACACCACAGTTCAAAGTCATCAACTCTTCTTTGGTCTTCCTTATTTGTTATCCATCTTTCATATACATATGAGGTGAGTGAAAATATCATGGATTGAGTTATGTACACCTTAGTCTTCAAAGTGACGTCTTTGCTGTTCAACACATTAAAGAGGTCTTTTGCAGCAGATTTACCCAGTGCAATACAACATCTGATTTCTTGACTGCTGCTTCTATGGGTGTTGATTGTGGATCCAAGTAAAATGAAATCCCTGACAATGTCAATCTTTCCTCTGTTTATTGTGATGTTACTTGTTGGTCCAGCTGTGAGGATTTTTTTTTTTGTGTGTGTTGAGGTATAATCCATAATGAAGACTATAGTCTTTGATCTTCATCAGTAAATACTTCAAGTCTTCTTCATTTTCAGCAAGCAAGGTTGTGTCATCTGCATATGCATGTTGTTATTGACTCTTCCTCCAATCCTGATGCCACATTCTTCTTCATACAGCCTAGCCTTTCCAATTATTTGCTCAGCATACAGATTGAATAAGTGCGGTGTAAGGGTACAACGCTGACGCACTCCCTTCCTAATTTTAAACCGTGCAGTATCCTCTTGTTCTATTCGAAGACAGCCTCTTGGTCAATGTACAGGTTTCTTATAATGTCAATTAAGTATTCTGGAATTCCTGTTCTTCACATTGTCATCTATAATTTGTAATAATCTACACAATTGAATGCCTTTGCATAGTCAATAAAACACACATAGACATCTTTGTTATTCTTTGCTTTCAGTCAAGAGCAATGATATCCCTTGTTCTACGGCTTGTTCCTCTGAATCTGGCTTGAATTTCTGGCAGTTGCCTGTCAATGCACTGCTGCAACCATTTTTTAATTATCTTCAGCAAAATATTACTTGTGTGTGATATTAATGATATTGTTTTGTAATTTCCACATTCTGTTGGATCACCTTTCTTTGGAATGGGCACAAATATCGATCTCTTCTAGTCAGTTGGCCAGGTAGCTGTCTTCAAATTTCTTGGCATAAATGAGTGAGTACCTTCAGTGCAGTTCATACACATTTCATTTCATGAATTGACTGCAATTCCCATAATGTAACAGCTCTTTTCCCATTTCCTCCCTGTGGTTACCTTTACCCTTTGTTCTTCTTTCCCATGCATACCTGCCCTCTGAGCTATCTCCCTGTGAAAATGCTGTCCTTCTGTTCTCCCATGATTGATCATTCTAAGGAGCATATCTACCTAGTGTAAAGGTTCATCTTACTTACATGCTTATCTATTATTTGGCTGGAAGCCATGGAAATGAATTCAATCCCAGGCCTAAAGGATAACTAGGGGCTATAGTCTCTAGGGTTTCACCTATGTCCCAATTATTAATGGATGTTTGCACCTGTTTCTTCCCATTTTGAGTTGTGCCATATCAGCTAATGAAGATCCTGAAAACTTTACTCCATCCACATCATTAAGGTTAACTCTACTTTTAGGAGGCAGCTAAATATGATTCTATGGCTAAAATTGATAATAACCATTACTGAGAAAAAACAGAATCCTTAGTAATGGTTATTATCAATTTTAACCATAGAATAATATTTGATAAATACAGTTATAAATTGCTTAAATGTAATGTTCATTAGATTATATGAATACTATAAACAAAATTGTTCTGTAAAATCTTTTTTACATTGAATTACATTATTAGTTACATTATTAGTAACTGAGCAGAAACCTTTTTTGATTTTTCTTCTTTTCCTTTAATTACTACCTCATTCTCAAAAAAGTTATTGATGTAAGTTCACTAGTACTAATTACCACAATATTGTAGCTAATACACCAGGAAATTTGACAAAATCACCAACAAAAACAACAGTGCATGCAGATGAATTCACATGATTCGAAGAGTCATTGTAATTGAGTCATGATGACAGCCCTACTGGAGCCTATTAGAAAGTTCAGAAAATAAATTAACACAGATTTTTAGCTTTGTAGGTATATTAATACATGTAAGCCGGGCTTACAAAGAATGTTTTTGTGAACATAGCTAACTACAGAGATGTTTTTATAAAAAGTAATACATCTCTGCTGAAATAGTGCACAAAAATTTAATAGACAGCCATTTTGGTGTCATCTCTGATATCTGTTACCTGATGTGTTCCACACCCCCAATAGCCCACACACCCCAACACAGTGATGCCACTGGCTGGGGGTTTGTCTCCAAGCAGTTTGGCTCCAGAGTGCAAGCCCTTAACCTCAACCAGACTGCGTTGGTTCTAGACGGCCCTGTTATGCTATGCTAAGGTGTTTGAATCTTAGCCAGAGGCTCTGTGCAGCCAGCAGATAATCAAATTGGAGAATAGTCTCCAGGGAAGACGTCATTGAGGGATTTGACCTGTTCTTGATTTCATCCATGATTTTAAAGAGACCTGCAATTCTCCTTTAATGTTTGGGACAGTCATAACTGAGGGAAAGGTGCTAGCCTGAGAGATAACAGACTGAGGTTGCCAGTGGCCCTAATGGTGCAGGACTAAAAGCAAGATGATTAAGGACAACAAGGATGTGTACCAAGTGCCACAGGGTATGAGGACACATTGCCACAATGGACATCTGGTATCTTCAGTGGCAAGAAAGCCAGGTGAGCATACAGTAGGGTTTGAGGAAAAGTTGAAAACAAAAAAGGTCAAGTCTTTTTAATGTGCACATGTGGCCTTGATCCTGAGAAATGCTGGGCCCAACCTCTGTAAGTCAGGGCCTTTGAAAGATTTGTGCTCATGTCTGAGGACTGCTTTTAACAGAGATGATGATACTCTGAGACACATTCAAAGGGGAGAGAAGAGAGGAGAACAACTAGAAATCAACAAGGAGACAGTTAAAATTGAGAAGCCTTAGTCCTGAGAGAGTTCCCTGAGTGGCACAAATGGTTAAGTACTGGGCTGCTAACTCTAAAGATTGACAGTTCCATCTCACCCAGTGATGCCAGTGGAAGAAAGTGAAAAAACCCTATGGAGCAATTTTGCTCTGTAACACATGGGACCACGATGAGTTGGGGTCGACTAGATGGCTGTGGGGTAACCTTGAGAATGAGCAGCTAAAGACCCCCTTCACAGATTTAGAGATGTGTTTCTGCAGGAGCAGACCAGGAGCAGTGGTGAGGATTTAGAGTAAATGTTGCATGAGTTGCTGTCTCATCGATGGAGGACAGGGCAGCCTCTTGATTCTCTGGAGTTGGACTGTTGGCCACCTGTGGGGGAACTTGTAGAAAAGATTTCTGCGCTGGCCTGGCTGCCTCTGAACTGACTCTCAGCTCCAACATACTCATCCCCAGACCCCATCTTATGTTACCAGTGAAGGGAAGGTATTTTTGTTAGTTTGCCTAACTGGTTGATTGAGTTATATTTTACATATCATAAAATTGACCTATTTAAGGTATACAATTCATTGATTTTTACTAACTTTACAGAGTGGTACAACCATTGCCATAAATCTGAACATTTTCATCTCCCCAGTAAGATTCCTCCATGTCCATTTACTATTAATCTCCATCCTGATTCTCAGTCCCAGGTGATTAATCTACCGTCTCTCTCTATACAGTTGCCTTTGCTGGACATTTCTTATGTACAAGATGTGGTCTCTTGTGTCTGGCTTCTTGAATTCATTTAACATACAGTTTTTAAAATTTATCTATGGCATAGCATGTGTCAGTAGTTTGTTCCTTTTTATCACTGACTAATATTCTATTGTATGGTGTGTGTATATGTATGTGTGTGTGTGTGTGGTGGTGGTGGTAGTGGTTATGTTTGTGTGTCAACTTGGCTGGGCCTGGTTGAGTGGCTGGGCAGCTGGTGGTGGTTGTTCCCCGTGATGAGACTGGCAGTCGGCTCTGTGGTGGGGCCTACCACAGGCAGCTGAGTGGCTGCCTTTGGGATGTGGTCTGCTTCCTGTGTATAGGGAGAAACCTTGGGAATGATCTCTAGCATATGGCATGCTTGGACCCTGCATGTTGCCGTGTTGTTGTTAAGCAGCTTGCCATGCTCTGCCGACCTTGGGACTTACAATGAACTTGAATTAATGGCCTGCCATGTGGTTTGGTAACATCGGGACTGTGCCTTTTTACTTGTCAACCTTGGGCTTCTCAGCTTCAGCAGCCAGCAGCTGTCTGAGTGAAGAAATGCCTCTAGCTCCAGTGGGCCAGGAGCAGGAGGCAGAGCTGGACCCCAAAGTTGAGGGACTTTCACCCAGCCCCTAGAGCCTGGCACTTTGAACTTGGACTTCTAGCCTCCCAAATTGTAAGAGAATAAACTCCTGTTTGTTAAGGCCATCCCATTTGTGGTATATTTCCTGTCAGAGCGACGCTAGGTAACCAGAACTATATATATATGGGTATTTCATATTTTTTCAATCTGTTCACCAGTTGATGGACATTTATGTTGTTTCCAGACTTTGGCTATCATGAGTAATGCTACTATGAATATTTATGTATAAGTCCTTGTGTAGTCATAGGTTTTCATTTTTTTAGGAGTAGAATTCTTGTATCATATGGTAGATTAACTTTTTTCTTTTTAAAAATTATGATTAACATTTTGAGAAACCATGGAAGAAGGTTTTGAAGAAATACAAGAGGAGAGACCATAAGTGGTGACTTGACAGCTTTGTCTTTGTAACTTTCCAGGTAATCCTCACAGCCAGAACATCAGCAGCAAGCTCACCTATGACACTGTGGAACAGGTGCGCTACAGGTGAGTGATAAGGATGCTGTCAGAGCGGCCACTCCTGCATGAACAGACTTCCTTCCTTTCACCTGCATGCATTCCACAAAGGTTTCAGTTTCAGGAAAATCATATTCAGTGAAATGGCAGTTATGCATGCAAATGATATACATCAGGGTTGGAGGTCAGGAAGGTGAGAGTGAGCAGGTGCAGAGCAGGGCAGACAAAAGCACAGGTGAGATGTGCAGAGGTCTTTTGGGTGGCTCTGGTTGATGCCAGTTTCTGTAGCCAGGGTGACAGAGTAACCCAGGCTCCTAAGTCTCATTTTAAGAAAAACACCATTTTGTCTTTTGTTTTTTATAAGGTTTCCTTAGCTGTTTTGTCTTGTTTCATCATATCTTTTTTCCTTCTTTGTAACATTTGGGCATTAAATAGCCTTTTGTATTTCTCCATTTGCTATTTCTTTTTAGCAAATAATTTCCAGATGGTAACTAAAGTTACTTGAATCAATACCATTTCAAACTATTTCCAATTGGAGAGGTACCTGTATTATAATAAATTTGAAACAGGTTGAGGGCTTAACACTTGTTACTATAGAGCTGGATGATAGATCAAGGAGGGGATGTTTTCAACTAACGTTAAGGTAGGTGTGGACTTTTGTCATTTTAAAATGAAGGTGGGGATTTTGGTGGCAAGGTAATTTTACCAATTTGGATCCATTTGCCATCACCCCTTCCCGTCCCTTCTTTTGCCCCTGCCCTAACTTCATGATTGTGGCAAAACCTATGGATTTTTTTTTAGCTATTAAGGTAGAGAAGGGTCCCTGGGTGGTGCAAATGATTGGCGGTGTAAGCCCACCTAGCTGCATTGTGGAAGAAAGGCCTGGCAATCTGCTTCCATAAAGATTGTAGCCAAGAAAACCCCATGGAGTGAAGTTCTACTGCGAACACATGGATTGGCATGAGGCAGAGTTGACTGGATGGCAATGGGTTTGGTTTTTATTAAGATATAGATGTTATATTTAAGGAGCTCTGGTGGTGTAGTGGTTAAGGCATTTGGCTGCTAACCAAAAGGTCAGTAGTTCAAACCCACCAGCTGTTCTGCAGAAGAAAGGTGAAGCATTCTGCTTCCATAAAGATTTACAGCCTTAGGAACCCAATGAGTCAGAATCAACTCAATGGCAGTGAGTTTGGTTTTTTGAGATGTCATATGCAGTAGCTATAAAACTACCCCGAACATTAAACCCATGATGCTGTGCTTCTTTCAGGGTCCTAGCGCACTTCCACACCTCCCCAGATGACTACAGTGTGATCTTCACGTCTGGGAGCACTGCTGCTCTAAAGCTGGTGGCAGAGGCCTTCCCGTGGGTGCCCCGGGGCCCTCAGAGCAGCGGGAGTTGGTTTTGCTACCTCACTGACAGCCATACCTCCGTGGTAGGCATGAGGGAGGTCACTACGGCCATGAATGTCACTTCTATTCCAGTCAAGCCAGAGGACATGCGGTTAGCAGAGACACAGGGTGCTGCTGCCTGCGACCCTGATAGCCAGCCTCCACATCTCTTCTGTTACCCAGCTCAGAGTAATTTTTCTGGAACCAGATACCCACTTTGTTGGATAGAAAGGATCAAGTCCGGGGGGATGTGCCCAGTGAATGTACCCGGAAAGTGGTTTGTGCTGCTTGATGCGGCCTCCTATGTGAGCACCTCACCTTTGGACCTATCAGCACACCAGGCCGACTTTGTCTCCATCTCCTTTTACAAGATCTTTGGATTCCCCACTGGCTTGGGGGCTTTGCTGGTGAATAATCGTGTGGCTCCTCTGCTGAGGAAAACCTACTTTGGAGGAGGCACAGCCACTGTGTACCTTGTAGGAGAGGACTTCTATGTCCCAAGACAGTCAGTGACTGAAAGGTAACCTCATGATGGGGAGTGGGGGTGGAATTGGCTGGGACTGGCAGGGGCCACCTGTGGGATTGCAAATAGGTCTGGGCCACAGGGATGAGGGGGTCAGGGAGTTGTGCGTTGCTAGCAAGGACACAGACTGGTAGCGGGCTCAGATCTGAGAGGTGGAAGATGGCTGGAGCGTGCTGAAGACAGCTTGGCAAACTCTGCCCCTGCTAGTAGGTGACTCCATAGTTGTAGAGAACTGGGGCCCACAGATAAGACTGTCAGCAGAAGAAGTGAAAGGCCTTCAAGGGAGTAAGGAGGGTGGGCTGTCAGGCTTTAGTCTCACAGAGCTGACAGGAGTGGCAGCACGTAAAGCAGTGATTTTAAAAGAATGCACCATGTGGACCAAGTGTACGTACTGCTTACTGCATAGCCTGTTTGTTAAAAAACAAAACAAAACAAAAAAAACCTCACTGCCGTCAAGTCAATTCCAACTCACAGCAACCCCCTCCTTGGGTTTCCAAGGCAGTACCTCTACGGAAGTAGATTGCCCAATCTTCCTTCTGAGAAGTGGCTGGTGGGTTTGAACTGTCAACTTTCTGGTTAGCAGTCAACTGCCTTAGGCACTACGTCACTAGAACTCCTGGAATTCGCTCAGCTTGGCAGCTAGTTAGCAAGAGGAGTTAATTAAACCTTAGGCCACTAGAGTTGTGGGGTGCTATTAACAATAGCAGTGTGAGCTGCTCTGGGAGTTACAGAGGAAGTTTGAGGGCAGGCTGCCATATACTCTCACATAGCAGAGGCTTCTGCTGGTGTTTGTTGGCATGCGTGCCTTCTCGGGCTGCAGAACATTGATGTGGACCTTGCCCAGGGATCGCCCAGATAGTGGCTGGGAGTCTTGAGGTTGAATGTGTGAGAGGGAACAGCTGGGGGCACCATGTTCCAGTCCCCCAGAGGTGAGGGTCTGGAGCCTAATGGGACATGGGACAGATCCCCCACTGACTCCCACACAGTCTCAAAGGTCCTGCTGATCGGGGTTGGGCCTTGGCAATAGCATGTAGTGTTAACAGTGCAGGCCTGGAGGTGAACCAATGTGGGTGAACCCTGGCTCCGACACCAACCAGCTGTGGGAACTGGTGATTTGACCTCTCTGCACCTTATTTTTTTCTTCTATAAAATGGGGATGATGATACCACCCTTTTAGAGCTAACATAGGTGAAGTGCCAGGACACAGTAGGAATTCAGTACATGTTGTGAGGCTATTTGATGATTCTTTTATTTGGGATATCTCCACAGTGGGAGAGATTCTAAAACAGGAATGTAAACTCTTTGGAACCCAACTATGATAATTTAGCCTGTTTACAACCAAGTGAGAAAAAGAATGATAGGTATGATCTAATACAAATGAAAACAGGATAAAATGTCACCCTCAGACTTCGTTTGGCCAGCAACGGAACCTGAACCTGAGCAGTGTGGCAGCTCATTAGTGGCAAGTGTGGAAGGAGCTGGACAGGTCAGTTGCCTTGCAGCAGTTGCCATATCATGACCCAAAGCAGTGTATGTTCATTTACCATTAGGAGCCTAGTTTTCGTCTTATGAACTTAGGACCAGAATTCAAGAGATTACCCAACCCAAAGGTTTAAAAATATGTCCCTGGGCCACATTCTTAACTTTTTGTATTTTTATAACCCAATAGATACAGCCCTTGATAGAAACAAAAACTCTGCTTATTCTATCATCATTATTGATCAATTAATAACATAAGTCATTGTTAATGATGTTTAACTTTTTAAATGTTCATTGGTGATTATCCAGTTTATAATTAATTTGTTGTTGATTGATTATTGATTTGGAGGAAGTACAGCTGGCATGCTCCTTAGAAGTGAGAAATGGCCAGACTTTGTCTCTTGTACTTTGTCATGTTATCAGGAAGCACCAATCCTTGGAGAAAGGTATCACACTTAGTCAGTGAAAAAGGGGAATATCTTCAATGAGAAAGGTTGACACAGTGGCTGCAAAAATGTGCTTGAGCATAGCAAGGACTGTGGGGAAGGTGCAGGCCTGGGCAGTGTTTCGTTCTCTTGTCTATAGGGTCACTATGAGTCAAAACTGACTTGATGACACCTAATAACAAGGAGCTCTGGTAGCATAGTGGCTAAAGCACTTGACTGCTAACCAGAAGGCTGGCGGTTCAAACCCACCAGCCACTCCTCGGAAGGAAGGTTGGGCAATCCTACTCCTGTAGTGATACTGCCTCGGAAACCCAAGGAGGGGTCGCTATGAGTCGGGGTCAACTTGACGGCATATAATAACAACAACAAATAACAACACATCAATTATTGATTCTGTGTGTCTCTTAACATTTGTTTTATAACATTGGCAATTATAATGTTTTGAGTTAATTTTATTCCTAGAGTATTAACACACAAAATACTGTATTTCCATTGGAAGCTTCGACTTGCATAAAGCTACCATTTGTTACTGCACCTCCTTCAACTGCATGCTTGCTGCAGCCTACCCGGTGTCTATAGGCTTCCTCCTCAACCCTCCAGTCTGTCTTGCCCCAGCAGTCAGAGGGTCTTGTTAAAACATAGGTCCCATCATGTCACACCTCTGTTCAGAGCCCTCTGGCTATTTCTCATCTCATTCAGGGCAGAAGCCAAAGTTCCTGCTGGGACAGCATGGCCCTTCTTAATGGGAATGTTCAGCCCTCTGTTTCTCAGACCGTGTCTCCTACCACCCTCCTGTTTATCACTCCCCCAGCCACAGTGAGCTCCTAGCTGCTCTTCACTGTGCCAGGTGCTCCTGCTCAGGGCCTTTGCTAGCCCTCTCTCTGGATGCTGTTTGTGTCTCCCATCCACTTGCTCTCTCCCCTACTTCCACTGGGTCTCTGATCATATAATCTTCCTTAGGGAGGACTCACCTGACCATGGTATCTAAAATAGCCACCACACCTTCCTGGTTATTCATTTTCATTGCACTATCCCACCTGGCATGTTATTTGTGTGTGTGGTGTGTGTGTGTGTGTGTGTGTGTGTGTGTTTTATTGCAGGGCTTTGAACCAGTTCATTCTGGTTTGACCCCCTGCTGAGAATTTGCATTTCCACAAGAATTACCTGGGGATCTATAAGAATAATCTGGAGATCTTGTTAAACAGTCGATTCTGATTCAGTACCGCAGGCAGTCCTAGGGTTACAAACGAGATCCATTTGTAAGTGTGTCTTTAAGTTGAATTTGTAGGTAAGTCAGAACAAGTATATACATTTCTTATTTAGCCTTACTTTAGGAGCTCCAGTGCTGTAGTGGTTAAAGCATTCAGCTGCTAACTAAAAGGTCAGTGGTTTGAATCCACCAGCTGCTCCATGGGAGAAAGATGAGGCCTCAGAAACCCTATAGTGGCAGTTCTCCTCTGTCCAAAAGAGTTACTATTAGTCAGGATGACAGTGGGTTTGTTTGCTTGTTTATTTTTTGGTTTTAGTGCAATAGAAGGCTCAAATCATTTTCAATGATTTAAATGCTATACATGCAGCAAGTGAAAGTGATTGTGATAAGAATTTGCTGAGAGTAGGGTTTGATTCAGTTGTTTCAAAGTGAGGGCAAATTTACATAACGTTAAAGGGCAAGTATGAGCCGTCCCTGAATTATACCTAGAGTAGTGCTAGTAGACAGTATATCATCCATAAAGGTTTGAAGAGTATTTTCATTAAATTAATAATTATAAGATGCAAAATAATGAGCACTTTGATAATCAGGAAGGTGTGCACCTGTTGTATTATGAGACCTGTGTAATTTTTACCAAAGCCCGTGGTTCCATAGACTTTGGCATTGTCTTATTAATGAACCTCAGAGCTGCTTGTTTGGCCCATCACTGAACTGATGCCCTGTCAGTGGTGCCCTCTAGTGATCAAAGCACAGCATTTCAAAACCTGGGAGATTTTGTCAAGTCCAAAAAAATCTCTTGGCTTTGGTTAGCATTTCAAGTGACTGGTTTTCTGAAGGGTCACAGCCTTGAAAACCTTAAGGGACAGCTCTACCCTGTAAACATGAGGTTGCCGTGAATCAGAATTGCCTTGATGGCAGCTAACAATAAAGACGACATTGGCACTTCCAGCTTGTCCTAGGAGGTTTGGAGCAACCTGAGAAAGCTGCAGAGCAGGTTAGGGCCAGAGGCAGCCAGACAGGTCTTGGTGTGTGAAGCCCGCTCTCTGGAGGAGGAGAGCAGTGTTTCATAAGGCTAAAAAGGGAAAGTGTTGATAGATTATGATGTAGCTGAAAATAAAAATCCTGTTACGTACCACAAAGTCCCCATGCGGGTGTTGGCCACAGCTTGACCTCATTCCCCTACCATGCTATAGGTTTGAAGACGGCACCATCTCATTCCTTGATGTGATAGCGCTGAAGCATGGATTCGATGCCCTCGAGCGCCTCACAGGTCAGTGGATACTTTTATCTGCATGGAATTTGTTCCTGTTACCTGAATTCTTGAAGGAGTCCTGACATGGGGTGATTTGGATGAGGGAGATGGATCTGGGGAACTGACTTGTAGATGAACACTAATATGTAGTTGAAGCTGATTCTAAATAATTTCAACGTGTCTTCTTAGAGCAAGGGACTGAGGTGGTTTTTAAACTTTTATTTATTTAGCTTTGGTCAGTTAAAAGAACATTTTGATAAGTAAGAGATAGTCCAAATCAGGAGGTTAACGGCTTGGCAGATGCAGAGGCCATCCGTAGTCCTGGGAATGGTTACAGGTCCTGAGCCCTTCACCTCTGCCTCTGCTGGATCCCCTCCACGGGGGACCTGTATGATGAGCCCACTTTGTCCAGGAAGGAGCTGATGCTCTGAGAGGCTAAGTGCCTTCCTCAGGGCAGAGAGCTGATAGCCAAAAGACTGGGATTTAAACCTAGCTTCCTTAGTGCCCAATCCTGAGCTTTTCACTGCTCACGCTGCTAATGGCCTTTGTATGATGCATGTCCTTCTTATTGACAAGTGCTTGGGACAGGGACAGGTGGGGCACACAGTGGAGTCTGACACATGGACAGATGCCACTCATACCTTCCGTGGCTTGACACAGGAAGCCCCTGTGGAAGTCCCTCCGTCTGGTGAGCCAGGCTTTCCTCCATTGTGCTGAGCAGCCCTGGCTGCTCCTTCCAGAGGCCGAGCTTCTGAAACTCAGTGGCACTGCTTCATGTGGGGATAGAATTGGACAAACCAGGGATGCACCTTAGAATTTAGGCAGAGCTTCCTCTCTCTGACTCTTGTCACAATGATGGGGCCCTTTAAGTCCAGCTTTATCCTAGTTAGGGGGACAGACAAGATTCATCGGAAGGAGGGCTGGCGCGGGCCTCACCCAGGACAGAGGCAGGAGATAATAGGCATTAAGAGAGAGCACTTTCCCAAAGAAAGATATTAGCAAGGCACCCATACCACAGATGACAGGGTCTGACAGGGCCAGGGGCACGTTTGAAAGCAAAGGTTGAAAATACCAGTTCCTTAAGGCAAACCATGCTTTTTTTTTTTTTTTAAAAAAAAAAAAAAACTTAATTGCTTTTTATAATATTAAGATTATCTAAACATTTAGAAAAAACAGAAGAAAAATGATACTTTTAAAGAATTTTTTTTGCCATCTGTTGTCAGGTCCCTGGGTGGTGCAAACAATTTGTGCTTGAATTCTAACTTAAAAGTTGGCGATTTGAACCCCCCCACCCCAGTGGCACTGCAGAAGAAAGTCCTGATGTTTGCATCCATAAAGCTTACAGTCACGGACACCCGATGGAACATAGTTCTACTCTGTAACTCATGTGGTTGACATCAGTTGAAATCAACTTGAAGTCAATGGGTGGTTTAAAGGGTCTCTATTATCTGAATGTTTAGATAACATTGTAAAAGAAAGGAAGGTAGCAAGAATTTATAAGGAAAAAATTCCACAGAAATAGAATAGTAACCTGTTGTTCAGTACTAAAGACCTAAGCATTTATTTATTGTCTAGGCAGTGGTTTTAATATAGCCAGGTTCTCTGGCTATAATGATCTCATTTCTTTTCTATGGAAAGTTTATTATTTTCTTGTAACGTTTCGTAATTGTTTTGGAGGTGGGATGGAGAATATAAAGCAGCACACCTTTACCTTGGTGCGGTACACCTATGCCGCCCTGTCCTCCCTCCAGTACCCCAATGGAGCCCCTGTGGTGCGGATTTACAGCGATTCCGAGTTCAGCAGCCCCGAGGTTCAGGGTCCAATCATCAATTTCAACGTGCTAGATGACCAAGGGAACATCATTGGTTACTCCCAGGTGGGTTTCTTTTAACTTGCTGACCTGTCCATAACAGATTCATTCTTACCTGGACCCCTAGAGCCTTACCCAGCCCCGAAATTTGCAGTGTTGCCCCTGAGCCCTTGACATACCTGCAAGGAAGCCTGTGCACAGTTGAAGGGGCCACCAAGCCCTCGCTCAGAGCCTCTTTACTCTCATTTACACAGAGTTCTAACAGGCGTGGCTATTTAGTTTTTTAGCCCTCTTTACTCAGTCCAAGGAGCTGTGCTAGCACAGTGCCTGAAGCATTTGACTGCTAACCAGAAGACTGGTGGTTCAAACCCACCAGTCACTCCATGGAAGAAAGACGGGAATCTACTTCCTAAAGATTTACCACCTCAGAAACCCAACATGAGTCAATATGAGTTGAAATTGACTTGTAAAGATTTACCACCTTGGAAACCAAATGGGGGTCCCTGTGAGTTGGCATCGACTTGATGGCAGTGGGTTTGGTTTTTGGTGATTTTCACTCAGTCCACTAGTTGCCATCCAGTTGATTCTGAATCTTGGCGCCCCATGGGTGTCACAGTGAACTGTGTGTCACAGGGTCCTCAATGGCTGCTTATCTGGAGGTAGATCACTGGGTCTTTCTTCTCAGGCCTGGAAGGGTGGGCTCAAACCTCCAGCCTTTTGGTTAGCAGCTGAGTACATTACTGTACCCCCAGGGGATCCCCTTTACTCAGCCAGCAGTGGTGAATTATATGTGAGAAGAGAGAGACTGGTTCTCTGTAGCAGTGGAAGGTGACAGCTGATGGTTTGCCAGCAAGGAAAATCACACTAAAGCAAAGTGGACAGAAGAGTCATGTAGATAGAACATCGCGTCTGGGGTTATTTTGTGTACAGATAGCTTGGTACCCCCAGTGGTGTGTCACACCATATGATAACATCACACAAAGTCATGGGCCTGCTACCATCATTTGTTTGGAACTCAAACCTCCCACCTTTTTTAAAAAATAAGAAGCAGAAATGATGCCCCTAGTAGCGCAAAACCCTTAGTTCTGCCATAGTTTATACTCATATTATGAGTTCAAAGGATTCGATAGTTGGCAAGAAAATATTTTGGGCTGAGGGTGAGAGGATATTGACTCATAAATAAGCAATTAAGATAAAGGGTAAGTGTGGCCACAACCATGTCTTCCTACCCACGTCCTCTTCCATAATGTGACCATGATATTTCTTCCACTGACAGTAGAGTTAATAGCCCTTCCCATTAAATCTAGACTGATTTTTGAACTCACTTGTAACCAATAGGATGTCAAGGAATGTGACTTGGATGGGTTCTAGACTAAGTGAGACAAGGCTATGCAGCATCTGCACGGTTCCTGGGACACTCGCTACTGGAGTCTCTGTGTAAGGAACTGACATCAGGAAGCTCAGCAACACAGGAGGCCAAGGGCAGGCACTGTGGCTGGCAGTACTAATTTTTGAGTCCTTCCACCTTGGAAGGCCAGGCACATACATGATTCCAACTCCAACCACCAAGCCACTCCCATCCTTTGAGTCTTCCCAGCTATACTCAAGACATCATGGAATGGAGACAACCTTCCCTTTGCCCTTTCTGATTCTGAGCCATGTAACTGAGCATAATAAAATGGTTATTGTTTTGTTCCAACAAGTTTAGGGTGGCCTGTTTTGTAGTGGAAGATACTAAAACAGTGAACTCTGGACGCATGGTGCTATGGAGTCTTATTCATCCTGGTAGTAGCTAGGGTTGAGGTTAGGCCAGCTTCCCTAAGAGCTGCCCTCTGAATGGAGACCTGACTCTGGAGATGGAGTTTGTTGTTCTTATAGGGCTTCCAAGTCTCACCTGAGAGCCAGGGAACTCCTGAATTTCCTTAGCAGATCTCTATGTCACTGAGCTTTTAGCTAAGGGAGAAGAAGCAGGGTGGTTTTCCTGAGGCCCCTCAGTTGAGCCCAGTGAATGGTTTCTCTCTCTGACAGATCAGGAGAAGATAGACAAAGTTAAGACAGTCATAGTCTTGACAGGGGTGTATGGGAGGCACCATTGCTTATTCAGGAGCCCAGGCTGACCACGTGGTACCTGGTGGCCTGCAGGGGATGCTGTATTATTCATGGCTGCCTCTGGCTGCCCACATGTGACTTCCAAGAGAGAGGGTTTTTTCTGTTTGTTTGTTTGTTTTTTAATTTTTATTGTGATTTGGGTGAAAGTTTACAGAGAAAATTCACTTTCTATACAGCAGCTCACCTACGATGCAACAGCTTCCCTCCCACTTCCCCCTCATAGTTACCTCTTCCCTGTGTCCTTCCCTCCCATGCACTCCTGTTCCCTTGAGCTATCTCCCTGTGCATACATAGCCTTCTATTTTCCCATGATTGATCTCTCCAAGGAGTATATCTACCTAGTATAACTGTTGAGCTCATATACCTGTCTTTTGTTTGGCTGGAAGCCACAGGAGTGGGTTCAATTCCAGACCTGAAGGGCAGCTAGGGGCCATAGTCTCAGTGGTTTCATCAGGCTCTATCAGACCAGCAAACCTGGTCTTTTTTTTTTTTTTTTTTTTAATGATTTTGAGTTTTGTTCCACATTGTTCTCCCACTCCATCCAGGATGTCTTACAAAGAGCCCACTCCGAGTGGTTGACAGTGGTAGCTGGGCACCATCTAGTTCTTCTGTTCTCATAGTCATATAGGCAGAGGATCACATGGTGTACCAGTCACTTGGACTAATTGTTTCCATGCATCTTTGTTTTTTTTTTCATTCTTCTTTGCTCTGGATGAGGAGAGACCCATTGTTGCATCTAGATGGCCTTTAAGATCCCAGTCTCTACTCATCAAAGTAAGCTGTGGAACAAAGTTTTTCTGTAGTATGTTATGCCAGTTGAGCTTGATGTCCTCTGGGACTATGGTCCCAAGCCCACAGGTCCAACTACTCGCTCCCTCTAGGCCAAGAAGTGACTACAACCTTGTCCCAGAGGGAAAAGTTTTGAAGGCTTATGTAGCTGGGCAAGTGTCTTTGTTTCCCTGGATGCAGTTAGGTGACTTCTCTCCCTGAGTTCAGTCTTAGCCACTAGGCTCAGGACTCTCCCTGGGATCTCAGCCCCTTGAGGAAATGGCATCCTTGACTCATAGTCAGAGGAGCTGAGACAAGCTGAGAGGATTCTGGTGCTGGCCCTACCTTTGAGATTTGAGTGAACCCAAGTGATTTCACAGAGCCTCCAGAGGGCAGGAATGAGCCTAGGAGCTTCTGAATTGAACAGCAATTCTGTAATTCTACCCCATGTCAAGGAAATTTTGAAAAGCAAAGCTATAACACACAGCATCAACACCAGCAATGCTTTATGTTCCAGGATGTGAGCCGAAACCGGTGATGCTTTGAGAGGTGCATCAGGTGGGACCTACTCTGTATATCAAGCTCTGTGGCAGCAGATGCCATGGAGCTGCCTCTGGTCCCCAGACACTAAAATTTATTCTCGCTGCATATGGGCTCTTAGCTTGGAATTTGGCCTGAAGCTGAATTTGTTGTTTTCACTTCTCTCAAGCATCCATCTGTAATTGAACTGGATAAAAATTACACCCCCCCAAATTTTTGAAAATAGTGCACCCATGCAATGCAAATACTGCACATATATTTAATGGGCAAAATGACAAAATTAAATTAAAAGTTCTGGCATAACATGCCCATGCATACATAGTGCATGTCTTGTGACATTTCCAGAAGTGAATTTTGGCCTCATTCACTCTCATTGAATAGTCCAAAAATGTTACTTTCAATCATATTTGTATAGTAAAGGTGTAAACCATGGTCAAGAAGTCGTGGATTGAGTTTGGTAGTATATTGGTACTCAGAAAATAAATAACTGACATTTTGTATTTGCTCTGGGGCAGTTTGCAGCTGGGCCTGAGAGTGGTAGGGTTGCTTTTAGCTGGTCGGCACCCAGGTACATTGTGCTGCAGACAGTGGAGGGTTTGCTGGAGAGCTGCGTGCAGGGCTGCCACAGCCTGAGCACAAACTGGTCCTGTGGCAGGTGGGGGCTGTTGTCTGCATGCACATTGGTCCTGTGGTGCTGGCCCCACATGAAGCTGGGTGGCAGGACAGTGTGACTGTGGGTGCACACTACCTCAGCCCTACCAGGCCCTTGGGCAGCTAGTAGGACCTGTCTTGTCTAAGCGAGGGATGCCCAACACCTCTGCACCTGCAGCTCTCACCCCTACCCCATGGCATCTCTGCTGGTATGAGATTCAGACAGTCTGCGCAAGCAGCCAGCCAGCCAGCTGGATAGAGGAATAGAATTTCCATGGCTGCAGTGCACCAGTCTTACCTGCCTGAGTGGCCTCTCTGGCCTGGGATGCACAGACCTATACACCACCTGGGCTGGGGCCAACCACCCTGGTGATGGCATTTGTTGGGTGGGAAAAGTGATTTCTTCTTGCGTTGGAGAAGGCAGTTTGCAGAGCAGGGAAGGAATCCTGCCAGGGAAAGGGCTGCTTTAGACACTCAGGTAGGCTGATAAGGGTCTGCTGCTAGAAACCAAACCTCTTCATCAACAGGCACCAAGACAAAGCCTTAACATTAAATCTGTTGGACAGAAAAGAAAATTGAAATTGAAGTCATCAACATGTTTTTTTTTTTTTTAAACTGATATAACACACTTATAAAAACAATGCTCAGGGGGTTGAAGGCTGGAGGTCCAAACCCACCAGCCACTCCTCGGAAGGAAGATGGGGCAATCTCCTTCTGTAGTGATACTGCCTTGGAAACCCAAGGAGGGGTCACTATGAGTTGGGTCCGACTCGATGGCACATAACAACAACAACAGCAACAACATCTCAGTAACATTTTATAAAATATGTTTAATAAACCCCTGATAGGTCATGTCATTTTAGAGCAAGATTCCAAGCTCATAGTTTCAGTTTGTTTTTAGGAAACAGGTCCAAATGCTGATCTAAAACTATGCCAGGCACTCAGAGTAAAACTGGGCATTTTTTTTTTTTTTAATTTTATTTTATTTAGATTTGGGTGAAGATTTACAGAGCAAATTCTCTCTCGATACAGCAGTTCACATATACTTTGTCTCATGTCATTGACCACAGTTTACCACAATGCAACAGCTCCCCTCCAATTTCCTCCCCAAGATACCACTTCCCAGTGTCCATCCCTCCATACTCTCCTGCCCCCTAAGCTGTCTCCCTGTGCATAAGGTGCCCTTCCTTCTCCCATGATTGTTCTCTCAAGGGCATGTGTCCACTTGAGG